TGTGTGTGTGTGTGTGCATGAGTGTGTGTGAGTGTGTGTGAGTGTGTGTGTGAGTGTGAGTGTGTGTGCGCGCGCGCGCGCGCGCGCGTGTGTGTGTGTGTGTGTGTGTGTATGTGTGTGTGTGTGTGTGTGTGTCTGTGTGTGTTGATCAGATGCATGGACCAAAGGCAAAGAACTTGAAAATAAAACGGAGCCAAAATAAAATCAGTGCCTTCAAATTATTGTATTCTAGACAAATGGGCAAGATCTGAGAGACAGAGAGGAAAACGAACGAAGAAATATGAATATTTTATTAGTTTTTTAAAAACAAAATTAAATTTAGAAAAGTGCAATATCATAGACATATAAAGAGACGCAACACATATAAAATTAAATCCTAGTAGGTAAGCTAGAAGGGCCGAGGGCAGTAGGAAGAAAGAAACTTCTATAGGCTGACAACATAAAGTCATGGACAGCACAATCATTGGAACAGTGCACCAGAGCAGCTGACATCCAAAGTGGATAGCAAGTCATTGCATGTCAACCTCAGAGGGCCCCGAGGCAGAGATGACACTCCCAACTGCAATTGAAACCCCTTGATGTGGCCAGCCAGCCTCGAGAGCCTACAACACCAAGCACTCGGGCTATAAAGGAAGAGGAAGGCCATGAAAGGTGGATCGAGGGCTTCAAGGAAACCCTGAGAAAACATAATATCACAACTGAAAGAGCTGCGGGGCTGGCTTAACATAGAAAACGGCATCTCCCCTCGATGCTTAACGGCAACAGAGGATGAAAAAGTAAAAAGTAAGTAAGCACTCACAGAAAACTGCCGAACTACTTAATTGACCCTCTATATAAATTCCTCTAAAGACAATACATTATTAAAGTTTGGCTTGCTATGATTACATACATTTTTTTCCGTTGCATATAACAATGACCGACGAGACACCTCATAGGACTCTTTCCGCCGTACGTAAAAATAAAAAGACCAACCCCCCCCCCCCCCCAGAACAATTTACTTTGATAAGTGGACTCTGGTCGATTCAGTTTCCCGAGAAATATCGGATGCTTGCTGGAAAAACTACCCACTTCCCTTAAAAGAATACTATTCTCACCATTGAAGCCTCTCCGAAGATGATTGCAAAAGCTGGCTGAGAACATCCTATGACGAATGATGCGATGCATCCAAGGAGAAGAAAAGGCCATTCCTTCATATTCATCTTCAATAATCTGGATACTGGGGCGTTAGCCGGACCGTCATCATCCTGGCAACAAATGTATCTTCTCAATATTAGGCTTATCAAATCTTTCCTTTAAGAACACGAATAATGCAAACGTACACTCTACCACATACGTAATATATACATGTATTTCTAATATAAATCGAAAAGAATTGAATAGAGCCAGACATATATGACACGAACAATCTTGAAACTGATAACAATGTCCATCCAACACAGGGAACATAAAATTGTAAACCATGTGTGGATATTATACTATTTTGCAAAATAGCATACTTACCTCCTCTTCCTCCTCTTCGTCAATCTTCACATCGCCTCTGCTTGATGTATCCTTCACTCGAGATGTCCGTTTAGAATCGTGTTCGTTTAGACGTCTAGACGTGGTGTGGTGCTCGTCGTCAGAGCTCAATATGTCTAGGAGTCAATACATGTTGAATTAGAAATACAAACCCCTAAAAGTAACACATGCTACTTGTAGTAAAGCTTATTTGTACAAGCATTCACATTTTGCCAAAATTGAAAAATGGCTTCGCAAAAAGGCGGCAACCGTCAATTCCACCGCTGAACCTACGAGTTCAACCCAGACAAAGCGTCTTTCCCTCGTTGAGACATTTCTCATTTTTTAAAAAGTTGACTGTACTGCACATTTCCTATGTTTACTGCATTGCATACATCTTACATGTAGTTTGGTTTTGTTATGATGAATCCAACATCCCTAGAGAATGTGCCCATAGTTCAATGCCAATAGTACAGCCCCCTTTTCAGATAGGGCTGTTCAGATTTGTGAGACAGGGACAGGTGTGTGGGTGGGTGCAGAGGTGCACAAATTGTGTTGCTGTCTTAAATTTTATAAATAGGATATTACATAATAAATTAAAACGGAAATATGATTTTATGAATCAGCTCCGTCAATGTGCAAGCGTCATCAAATTTTGACATATTTATTAGACTACATACCTTTGTCTATTTCTGCAGACGTCTGAAACAAAAGGAAACACAAAGTCAACAATATGTTGTCTACGTTAATAAGGATACACTACTTAATGGGCGAGGTGGGGGGGGGGGGGGTGAGAGATGGGGATAGGAGGAGGGAGGGGTGAGGGGTAAGGGTTGGGATGAGGTGAGGCGTAAGGGTTGGGAGGGGGTAGGGTGGTGGACGGGGAGGGGGTGGGGGGATGGGAGGGAGAGGCGAGGGGGGGGGGGAGTAGAGAATATTGACTTGGGATCAAAAGACAATAAAGGTTTGTCATACCAAAATAAAGACAAAGTCACAATAGCATACACACAAGAATGCTTAAGAGTTAGAAATTAGATCTGTTACTTGTTGACTAAGAAAGTGGGACTGTTACAAGCTCGCTAATTTTTGGTTTCCCCTGGTAAGAAAACGGCTCGTGTTCTGGGGAGAAGTGCCTTAAGATGAAATTAATTTTTTGAAAATATAAGTGTTTTCACGCCCTTCATCGACACAATTTGGATACTTTAGAAGGCGAGCTTTCGACCCTGCCTGTCAGACCCAACCCGGACCGAGAGGGATACAACATCCTAGCAGAAAGATCGGGATATTCAATAACAATTTCTCCCCGCTGTGAAACAGAACTCGGGTCTGCTGTGTGCGACAACAAAGTGCGTTACTGCTACAAAATGGACGTCGGTCCTTTCGATGAAATGCTACTATTTTCAACGAAAAAAAAAAGATAAGACAAAATGGAGTCTATCTTAGCTTCCTAATCCTTAAGTCCAGCTCACAGGAAACCAAAAGTTACTAAAGAAAATTCGATTTGTTTTTCAAATGGACGACCATAGCGATTGGTCGCTCACAGCAATAGCTTTTTTTAAAAAGCGTATAAAGTGTTTTCTTTGTTCTCAGCCACAGTCCGTCTTTACCTGGTTTGTGTACAGTTGGTAGTAGATACCCTTGCTCTCCATGAGCTGGGCGTGGGTTCCTTTCTCCACATCTTTACCCTCATGTATCCCAACTATGATATCTGCTGTTCGTATGGTTGACAAGCGGTGGGCAATGACGATTGTCGTCCGACCTTTTCGTGCCTGAAGAGAAACCAGCGAGATGTGTGGTTGGTGTGTGTGTGTGTGAGGGAAAAAGAGGGGGGGGGGGGAGGGTTCAGTGGAAGGTAAGTCGATCTTTTACAGAATTTCGAATCCGCTGTTGTTGTTACTTTTGTTTCTACGGCTGTTTGTGATTTCGGAGACAGATCACTTGGTCTCTCACCAGATCGTGGGCTGAGAAGGAGGGCAGCATATTTAAACCTTGATTTTAAAATTCTCATTTTCATGCTATAGGAGTAGTTGGTGATCCACTGCGCGATAGCCTTAAGCTGTAATAGTTTTATAAAGAAAGGTACCACCCTATGTTATGTTCGATCGATTCGTCTTTCCTGTAGAAAAATAATGATTCTTTCGACCACGAAATTGAAATATGAAGTACATGTATTTCATAGATAAATCAACGTGAGAGGATTATTCTTACAGTAAAAACGTCTCTTTTATGGCGGACATTTCACGACAGGGGTAAAATCCGAAATTCACACATCAGCACGCCTTGTGATCGCCATTCATCACACCAGTGTATTCTGCACATCGAGTGCACAAGTTTTCCTGCATAATGTTGTTTCAGGCACTGGGGAGGGCTTGCTGCAGCTGCAAAATGCTTCTGGGACCGGGATTCAAGTCACTAGCAACACAGTTAATTCTGTCCCTCAGGTACTCAACTGGGTTAAATTTTGGTAAAATGGCAGGCCGTGTGTCCATTTCAGCGACGTTATTCTAGATTTTAAAGAATTTAATTCCAAGTAGCGTTCGAGGTGCGAGGGTGCATTGTTATATTGGAATATCATGGGTTAATTGTGTAGTTGAAGACATGTCAGAGAGTGGCCATGTGGTCCCTGTATTCTGTTATACTCCCATCGTGACGCTCAACTTGGGATTGAGAATTGTTCGAGAAGGGTACGTTGTCCCACTGCTCTCTTTCTTTCGATCGCCAGTATAGAGCAGTTCCGACACTAAATTATGTCAATTGAAAGGAGAGATCTGAAGCTTGAAGGCGATATTTATAAGTCTTAATCTTAAATGAGCCATCTAAGGGACCCACGTTTGTATTTCCTAGCGTAGCTAGGCATATTTAGGGAGATTGCTAACTGCCGAAAAACGGAAGAAAGGTCAACAAGCTCACTGGAAAATACCAATATTGGCCAGTGGTGAAGGTGTGAGTGTATGTCATAGCCAATCTATACATGTGTGTGCCCATGCTCATGCATGTGTGTGTGTGTGTGTGTGTGTGTTTGTGTGTGTGTGTGTGTGTGTGTGTGTGTGTGTGTGTGTGTGTGTGTGTTTATGTGTGTGTGTGAATGTATGCTTGTGTGTGTATGTGTATGTGTGTATGAATGTGTGTGGGGGGGGGGGAGGGCTGGGTCTCTGTGTATGTATGAGTCAGTGGGTGCGCTCCTGTATATTAAACCATTAAAAAAAGGAAAGCCACGGAAAGGTCTTTTCTTATCTCCAACAACAACAACAACAACAACAGCAACAATAACAACAACAACAACAACAGCAGCAACAGCAGCAGCAACAACAGTGGAAGCAACAACAATAACAAAAACAAACAGCTTGTGTCTCCACTTCCCCAGCCCCTTACAATATCTCGATCCGACGAAATTGGATAGACTTGTTTTACCTTATCCAGTGCGTCTTGAACGATGCTTTCGCTGGCATTGTCCAAAGCCGATGTTGCCTCGTCCAGAAGTAATATCTTGGGATCCCTTACGAGAGCGCGAGCAATGGCGATTCTCTGTTTTTGGCCTCCACTAAGTTGAGTCCCACGTTGACCCACCAACGTCTCATAGGTCTAGAAGGTATAAAAAAACAACAACCAACAACATGGAGGTGAGGTGTGTACTGTGCGAGTAAATCCTGAAAACTGAGACTCCAAGGGCTACAACTTTAATGTGTATGGCCTACCAGTTTATGGAACTGGCCACCCTACCACAATATGCCGAAGCCCCAGGAAGTTGTCTCACTAACAAGGCAATCCCCAATGTCCGGATCGGATGCGGGAACTTCTTTACCTTACTTTACCAGTTTATTATGATGAGTACCAAAGTAAGATATATAATGAATATCATGTGTAGAATTGACATAAATTGCATAGCCAATGAATGGAGAATTTTGTCTCTGCAATAAACAATATTTCATTACGATATTTTATTACGATAGTTTGAAACAAAACGGAAAAAGAGCAATCACAAATACCACGCAAAACATTGACTTAACAATAAATGTGGTCATTGTTATTTTGTTTAGGAGCCACTGGTTTTGTGTAGTGCACGCACACTTTGGGCATCGACTATATTACAATTTGGACATACATATACTTATCAGTCTTTTCATCCCAAATATCACAGAGAGGTGTAAACAGAGGGTCTGGATTGAGAGCAAAGCCGCTTTTCTTCATCTGCTGTTTCACATATATGTAGTATGTAGGATTCGTATCGGGGCTTTTTACTTGTAACCTCTCCAACTTTGATTTGATTTTGTTTTCCAAGAATCGTCTAGTGGCATTGGCCCTTTGATAAAGTGCTTTGCTATGCCTGAGGATGTCTACTTGAATGACACCATGATGAAAATAAGGATAAGACATGACGTTCCAGCACTTGCCCAATGTACATGTAGTTCACTAAACAAACCCATCTGTCACGAAGGCAGTTTTGTTCATTCCACTCCAGACCACCCTAAAACCATGGCAGTTTCGTGGCCTCTGTTCCTCACTGACAGATGAAAATGTCCAATATTTAACTATCACAGTCCATAGGCAAAAAAAGGTTTCGTGCTCTAAACGAAACCAATAGCTCCTAAACAAACAACAATGCGCACATGTAATGTCAAGTCCAGGTCTTGCGTGGTATTTATAACTGCTCTGTTTTCCAATCTGTTTGAAAATATCACCAGAAGATGCTGTTCATTGCAGAGACAACACTATTCTCTTTTCATTTGATATTTCATACATGTCCATTCCCAGAATGTTGGTGCACGTCAATATACGCGCTCACACACTTTTACGTTTAATTGATTTCGCACAATTTTGCCAAGCCTGAATATTTAATGTCAATTTTGAGTGACAATATCTCGAATGTCTCTTAACACAGATGAAATATCTATAGGTCAAAGGATGCAGAATTTATTTAGCTTTAAATTGGTATGATGGATGAATGGGTATTGCAAGGCAATAACACGATGATAGGGTGATTACATTTTCAAGTTTCTTTTGGACGCCACTATAATATATATACATATATAATACACACACACACACACACACACACACACTCACACACACACACACACACACTCACACACACACTCACACACACACACGGTACACAATTTAGTCACTTTTTGAAAATGGACAAAGGTATCAAAGGGACGGAGACGGCCCTGCCCCCTCCCCACCACCCACCCCCAAACCTACCACTCCCTCTCACACACAAGGAAAAAGTACAAGCACCCCCTCTTGTCTGTGACCATATACAAAAACAAATTAATAAGAGATAAATATTTTTTAAAAACTACACGAGCAGATCAAAGAGAAACATTAAAACAACCCCCCCCTCCCCCCTCCTTCCCAATCTCCCCCGAAATCATACAAAGACAAGACGGCACCTTCGCACACTCACACACAGCACGACAAGGAAATAACAGCAAAAAGAGATCGACAAAGAATGAGGTAGGGTGTACAAAAGAGGGAAAAGGGGGTGGGGGTGGGGGTGGGGTAAACGGGAGGATGTTTGAGAAAGACAATGGAGTTCGTAATTAAAACAACAACAACTACAACAAGAACAACAACAATAACAACAACAAACGGAACAATGACGACGACGACGACGAAAAAAAACAACAATCAGAAAACGGCCACTGGGTATATATTCACGCATTTGTAAACACAACACAACATAAAACAACCCAAATGATAGGAAGATCAAATCATAGCAGAAAGGTGCAAATATCGGAAGAAATCTGAGAACTGAAAAAAGACAGGTATTAATTTCACTCCCATCTCATGCTTAGGTATTCTATAGAACTTGTCTTGTTCATTTTTATCCGTTTTACACGAATTTTAACCCTATATCCTTCGCAAATAAATAGTTTTTGATCTAAAAGAATCGGGAGGGGTTGGGGGAGGGTGACATGCCCGTATTTGATATTTTTAAAAAATTTAGTTTTGAGATTTTCTTGAAAACAATTGATTTGCGACGGTTTTTGTGGCAATAAAATGTGTGTTCTGCAGCATCAAATACAACAATTTTGCTACCAAAAGCTCTGCATCTGCGTGCGGGACTAAAAGTAAAAATGTACCCAAGAATGAATCAAAGTCTGTATTTGTCGAATAAAGAAACACGGCACATATCGCGTTTTTTTCTTTTCTTTAGATCAAAATATGTGCGAGCACCGTCTGTTTCTTACCCCATTGCTGTCCGTACAGTGCTGAGTACATTAGTTTTGCACACGGGAATGTCAGCTCTATTTAACATATATCAATGGCAGTACTTTTCTTTCCTAATTTTGACTTAATTCTATTTAATTTTTGTTTTCAGTTTACCGGTACCAATTTTCCAAGACCTTACTTACGTTGGGAAGTTTCATAATGAAGTCGTAAGCATTAGCCTTCTTGCAAGCGAGCTCTATTTCTTCCATGCTGACGCCGTCTCGTCCATAGCGTATGTTCTCTGCGATAGTCCTGTTAAACAAGACTGGCTCCTGACTAACAACCCCTATATGCTGTCTCAGCCATGTGACGTTCAGAGACCTGATCTCCTTGTTGTCGATCAGAATCTGTTGTTCATTTCCGTGGGAAACAAATAAGTTGAGGAAAAACTCATTATTTAATAAGGGGTACATACGACAGGTACATTATAGTAAGAGAACAGCTGTGTTGTAATGATGGTCATTATTCATCGTATACGTATTTATTTCTTTTGGTTAGGATGGGGAGGGGGGGGGTGGAAGGGTGGGGGTGCGGTGGCTGGGTAAATACCCCCCCCTCCCTTAACTTCTCTTTGAAAATCAAACCCTTCTTTATTCTTCCCCCTTCACCTTCTATTCCTATAATACAGCCAGCCCCTTTAGCCTTTTCCTTCTTTTCCACCTACACTTTACATCGCATCATCATCCTCATCCTCATCCTCATCATCATCATCATCATCATCATCATCATCATCATCATCATCATCATCATCTTTTTGTTTCTTCTACTTTCTTTTCTTTTTTCTCTTCTTCTGTAGCAGCTGGAACATAAAAATAGACAAATGCATTTGGCTAGCTTGGTTCTGATTTTGCTGAAACTGAGACTGGTCTTAAAAGCATTGACAAACTTGTGGTTAGTTTGTTGTTTCTGAGTTCGTTGTTGCAATGTTATGACTGATGTTGCTGTTACTGTAATCGATCAAGATTAGAGTTAATGAGGAAAGAAACAGAAGGGGGGGGGGGGGAATATAGAAGTTAGCAGAAAATGAAAGAGGGGGAGGAGGAGGAGGAGGAGGAGGGAGAGGTGAATGACGACGATGACGACGACGACGACGACGACAATTGGTATGGTATGGGTTTAACGCCCTTATCAACACTATTAGGTTATTTAAGGGGCGGGACCTCCTAGTTTAACGTCCGTCTCCGATAGGACCGAGCCAAGTGGGAAGTTCGTGTAAAGTGCCTTTCCCAAGGACAAAACGTCGGACTGAGCTGAGGCTCGAACCCCCGAACCCGCAATCTCACGTTTACGAGTCCGGTAGCCTAATCACTAGGCTACCGACGCCGCCGCCGCCGCCGCCGCCGCCGACGACGACGACGACAAAGAAGAAGAAGAAGAAGAAAAAGAAGAAGAAGAAGAAGAAGAAGAAGAAGAAGAAGAAGAAGAAGAAGAAGAAGAAGAAGAAGAAGAAGAAGAAGAAGAAGAAGAAGAAGAAGAAGAAGAAGAAGAAGAAGAAGAAGAAGAAGAAGAAGAAGAAGAAGAAGAAGAAGAAGAAAGAAGCGGGTGAGGTGGCTGGGAAGAAGGAGGACGATGTCGACAAAGACGACAACAAGTGGACAACTTCATGATAGAAACGAAAAAGACGGGATAAAAAGGGACCGAGGGAGAGAAAATCGTTGAAACGGTGGGGCGGAAGAGAAGTTTGTGCATGTACATGAACACAATGCATACCAAAATATCTGCCACCACTTACTTTTAGATATTTTTATGTAAGCCCCCCCCCCCCCTCCCCCGACCCCGATCGACACAACTTAGATCATTCGGGAGCCGGCTTCCGACACTGTCTATCAGGGCCAGCCCGGGATGATAGGGATAAAACATCCCCGCAGAAATACCAAGATACTCGATATAAAGATTTCACCCCACTCGTGAATCGAACTCGACCCTCCTGCGTGGGACAAGAATGTGCGTAACCGCTACACCAGAGGCAACGGTATGTCCACTTACTTGACCTTGTTGAGGATCGTAGAACCTCAACAACAACTGCACCAATGTGCTTTTCCCGCAGCCGCTGGCTCCTACAAGGGCAATCGTCTGGCCTGGAGTTGCCTCTACGTTGATTCCTTGCAATATCTGCAAGGATAAGACGTACGGAATGTTGAGGTGAAGTCTGGAGACAAGGTTATGCAAAAGAGAGTAGGCCTTGCCCGGTTGGAGAAATTATATTATATTATAGATTAATTAAGGATAAGAGATGGGGAGATATAAAGGGCTTGACGAAAGCTCTGATGTGCTTGCTTCCATACTTACCTACTTTTCCTCATCCCCTCCCTACTTTCTTTCTTTCTTTTTTTCTTTCTTTCTTCTTTCATCACTAACTTGCTAACTCACCTATTCACTCACTCACTCACTCACTCACTCACTCATTCACTCACTCACTCACTCACTCACTCACTCACTCACTCACTCACTCACTCACTCACTCTCTCACTCACTCTCTTACTCACTCACTCACTCACTCACACACTCACACTTGCTAACTCACCTATTCACTCACTCATTCACTCACTCACTCACTCACTCACTCTCTTACTCACTCACTCACTCACTCACACACTCACTCTTACTCACAAATCGCCGACTGACTGACTGACTGACTGACTGACTGACTGACTGACTGACTGACTGACTGACTGACTGACTGATTGACTGACTGACTGACTGACCGACCGACTCACTCACTCACTCACTAACTCACTCACTCACTCACTCAACTTTTGGGTTAGTGTTTTACTGCTCTAGCAACTGCATAAGGTCATATGAGCGCGCGGGACACATTGACCATTTTAAGTTGGTAGGAAATTTCGACTTTTGCCCTGGAGGCAGCCGAAGCCTACTCATCAATTTTAGACCATCAAGTGATCTTTAACGTGTGCAACTTGCATACGTGACCTCCGAGATTTTTCGCCCTTATCCGAGAAGGCTGGGTGTTAGATCTTACCTACCATAAGAACAGGTGTTTGGCTGAAAGACAGCAGTAAGGAGCCGAGGAGTAGCAGTAGAAAGGCTGCAGAAAGAGTCAGGATCCCAAACGAGGGGCCCTAATCTGTGAAAGTTGTACACTGAATTGGTGAAAAAAAAACAAACAACAGCAGCTCCGAAACGGAAAAAAAGTTTAGTACTTTTGACTGTGACCTCCTGGCAGCCTAAACTGCTACCCAACGTTTTAGACATTTTTTGTAACGACAACCTTTAACGCTATACACAGCAGATACTCTTCACGTCAGCTCTTCAAAGCCAGACTAACCGTTCCCCTCTACAGCCAAGGCATCTTTCTACCATGCCGAATTTACGACTGACATTCGGCACACATAGGGCATGTTTACTTTAGTGGTTGACGCCCTCTCTTGTTTCAGTTCCAACTCTAATTCTGAAGTCTGCATACCCGCTGTGGGTGATTTCAATCGCCCAGCTTAGTTAAGAACAGATGAATCCAAGGGAGATCTATCCATGCTGATGACAAAACTTCGGAGTGCTATCATGGCCTACCCTTGAAGGGGTTCACCATTAAACATACTCACCTTCGTCTCGGGTCTGGATGGATAATGAAAATGTACATTCCTAAAACGAATATGTCCAGAGATTGAAGATAGTTTCAAGCCAGCGTCCGAAGCACTGTCAATGATGGGTTTCTGCGCAGGACAAAGGGAAGGCAAGCAAAACAAAGTATAACATTATGTCACTCCCCTTATAAAAACAACGACTACAACATCAACAGCAGCGACAATAACAATAACGCAACAACAACAAAAACAACACCAATAACAATAACAACAGCATCAACAACAAAAACAACACAAAACAAAAGATAGCCAATACCTTTGCATACACACACACACACAC